AAATGTCTCATCTAAGCTGTATTTATAGCATGTTATTGGGCCGTAAGTCTGAATCAGCCTTGTGTACAGAAGTGACTGGATGTCATGTTTAATCCAAATTTAGTTATTTACACTGAAAGATGAAGCTGCAATAGATTTTCTGATTCAAACAGAAGGCTACATTCATGTTCATCTTCTTTCCTATTTTGTATGTTGTATGAAGACAGTACGGATTTTTCCTTGCTTTTATGTTTGCTATGTTTCTATATTAAAAATAAATAAATAAACAAAAATGCTAAAATACAACTCTGTAAAAATGGAGTCAATTCTTGTGACAATGTGACAAAAGCCTTAGTTCTTGCTGTGGAGCACAGTTCAGGGATTCCAGACAGCCACTATCCCCTAGGGCTTTTCAAAGTCTGTTGGCAGCTTTATTCTTTCAAATAAGCTATGTTCCAAGTTCGTAGCCAGAGAATCCAACACAGACAATGCCAGTTAAATTTAAAGCCTGAACTGCATCCTTAGCCAGTACTTACCCTGGGGAGATATGTGAGTTTTCCATTCAAATGGAGGAGTGTGACAAACTGGTATGATTATGATTTAAACTGGTACAAAGCATCAAAATGCTTTCCACTAGTCTTCTAATTTATGCTATTAAAACTGTATAAAAATTAACCACAAATTTTATTTTGACTATATCTTGTCCCTGAAAAGGTATGTGTCAAATTGGTGTAAATGTTTTGTACTTTTCTCCCCCTCTATTTAGACAGAGCTCATATTTATCCTGTTTCTGTGTCCCATCTACAATACATGTTCTCAAGATCACTCATTTGGTATTCTTCACCTGTGCCTAGAAAGTCTTAATCTGAGTTTACTATGGCCTTTACAAAGACAAACCTTATTAAGGACCTTCCCTACAAAGCTCCACACTGGCAAGTGCAGACTATGTTCCTAGTGGTCTCTAAAGTCTGGGACTCACTTCTCCTTAATGGATATCTTGACTTTTTTCTGACCACATTAAAAAAACACCCTCTCTTTTTTAACTGTATCCTAGCACGTCTGCAGAATGTCTCTCTAGCTACTCCTGTTAGATAATTATATTACCTTATCCCAACTTTAATTAAGAAATAAAGGTTTTGCAGTCACCCTGTCTATCTTGTGTTAATCTTCCTGCCTGCTTCTCTTTCTGTCCATGATGCACCTCTAAGTTTCGTTTTAGTGGAGGCAAAGTTAATTACTGTCCTGTAATTGTGGTAGAAGAGACAACACCAATTTTGAGGAAAGGAAGCGGAATTTTTGTGCTTTTTATTTGGCAACACTCATCTGAATACGTTCATCTAACTTTCGACTTAGCATAGCACTTTTATCTCTTCTCCACGGTGGGGCCCATCTTAGTTTATATGGGATGAGTCCAAGTATGTCCCATAGGAAAAGTTAGGAACCAAAACTCAGAAAATCTGCAGAAGGCCAAGCTTTATCACTTTGACATGGCAAATAACTTGCAGTGCATTATACAATATTTGGTCTGCTAATGGAAATTTGGCCTGTCTTTTATGTAACAATGATTCATCTCATGTGAACCATTGTGTGCTTTAGCAGTCTTTTTTGATGGTGATAGATTTGATAATTTTAAATTTTGGGGCTATGTGAAAATTATTCTGCTTTCAAATCTGTCTTTCCTTTGAAAAATGAAGAGGTGAACAAGTATGCCAGGCATTCTAGTTAACAGAGTCTAACACTGATGTGAACAATTTCTTCTAACCTTAAAGGTTAACAGCTCTGTCTGCATTTAGAAGCTTGTGATATATTGCACAGTGTTTACACTCCCATTTTGCTGTTTTTGTATATAGATGTGTAGCACTATCCTGTTCAGAATTCAGAGAGAATCATCTATCATCTTCTTATCATCTGAGAAGAAAACAGCAGGACACTTAGATGTTGTAGTGTTTACTACACTACAGTACACTGTGGATCAATGGCACTTTGCTTGAATCATACGTTGTTGCTCTCCTGTACAAAAAAACAATAGAGCCACTTTAGATATGTCTGCTCCCTTTTTGAGCACTCTCACCTTTTCCATATTTCCTGACCCAAGGTGGATTAAAGATTACTCACCACACTATGCAACTGCTTTTCTGTTCAAGTGGGTCTGGTGCGTGCTAAATTGCTTTGCGAAAGCTGTGGATATCTGTACTTTCAGTATCACACTTTCACCAAAACAATCACAATTTCTGGAATTGTTGCTCTTGACACAAGAAGCATTTGAAAAGTGAAAATTAAATCCTGGGTTGATTGCAGTGCATTAAATTAATATTTGATAATGCCTTATCTAAAAAATAAAAAGCTACAGTATTTTATCAGTGTTCTCCAATGAAATGCAGTCCAGAAAGAGTTCAAGTAGGATGGAGTTTGAAAAGTAAAGGAGTGGGGTCATGCTATTTTATAGAAAAGAAAAAAACCCTCCAGGGCAGAAAGCCCAGAAACATGTACTTCTTGCCTCTTAGGCATTCAAGGCATGACAAACAGGGGCACTGAATGGGAAGAAGAGCAAGAAAGTGCCACCTCCAGTAAGGAAGTCCACAGGAGATTTTGAGAAGTAGGACCATCTTATTTTCACAGCTTTGCCAATCTGTGCTTCGAGAGTTAATAAATATGTTGTAGCATTTTACTGGGAATTTGAAGCACTGATGAGTATTTTGTGCATTTGTGTCATATGCTGGGCATTCATAGTGTTTGCCACCGACAGATGCTTGTGGCACTAGAAAGAACTAGCTCTACTCTATCTGGTTTATTTACAGGTAGAAACAATTTAATATTTTTGTTCTTTGTCCAGTGTTGCTGCTACTTGTAAAACTTTTCATCTCCAGGATTCCACTCCTTCATAGATTCCAGCTGTCGGAATTAGACTAGATCTGTAAAAAATGGGTTTGTGTATTAATTTTAGATACAGTTTCTGTGCAGAATTTGATCACGCAGAAAACACACTAAGAATCTGGTCAACCCTCTGTTTGCTTTCTCCCTAAACAACCTGAGTAACAGATAAAGTGGATAGGCATGAGGAGACCGGCAAATAATTTACTTGAGACTTTAGGCTCTTCCATCTCTGCAGAGTTCATTCACATGACTAACACAGGTTTCCTTGAACTACACAGCTGTTCCCCTTTTAAGTGTCAAAACAGAAGAGAAAATGGAGTAGCTATATGCAAATAGTAGAAATATTTTTTATAAATTAATAGATTTTACTGAGGAACAGGTAAACCAGCTGTCACACAGCAGATTATATCATTTCACAGAATTTGAAGATAAAGAACATAAATTTTCTGGAAGTGAGGTACCATAAATATTCACACTATGGCTGTTTAAATGGGGAAAAGAAAAAGATGGATGTGGCTTATCTTCTGCTGAAGCCTTTGTGTAGCTGTGTAACTCATTAAGCAATCCTGATCAGAAATTATAATCTAGGGCATTTCCTGATGTTTTCATGACCCAGTGAAAACATGAAGAGGTATTAAGTCCGGCTGGTCATTAACTCCCCTGCTAATGCCCTGGGCTGATTCATGATGTCTACAATAACCGATTGGATTTGGCTTCATTGGGCAATTAAAGCCTCTGAGTTCCTCCCATGGTGCCGTGTTTCTTCTCATTTGGTGTGAAGATCAGGCCTACATGCTTTCCAGCCAGGTTGGGACTGTGGTTTTACCTGAAGCAACACTTCATTCCAACCACTCCTGCAAAGACCTTGTTAAAAGTGCAGACTTGTTCCACAAGGTCTGTAAAAATCCATTTCTCTATTTCAACCAACAGGAATAAAAGAGATGATAATAAAAACAGCTACACAGATATTAAGCATTATGATAATTTTGAATATTGGGGAGTTTTGTTTTGTTTTGTCCTTACAGGCTTCCTGGTTGTACTTACTGCTTTTTTAGTAGATTCTTGTAATACCTGCAAAATAATTTCTGTCTTGTGAACAATATGTCAATAATAAAAATGATGTTGTAGCAACTCAAATGCAAATCATATTTCTCTATTTATCAGCCTTTTTCTGATTACATTTTAATGTACTTTAAATCCATTGTTAAATACTCATATATACTCACTAAACCTTAAACAACAGTAAAATAGCACCAAAACAGTGGTAATTTCTGCTGAAAACTGCAACTTATATCTCATCGTGATAAATTCACTGCAGGAAAATACATGAGAATTAAAAACAGCCATATTGGATTAATGTCTTTGGAAAACTTCATCTTGATTGCTGCCACATACTAGATGTGATAACTGAAAACTCCAAGTTTTCCCTGTCCCCATTGTCCCCTGGAGAGGTCTGACTCCATATCCTTAGTGCTATAAATGCAACTCTTAAGCTCAGCAGTCCTTCAGCCTACTTGTATTTACAAGACTGTATTTTTTGGAAGTGGTTTCAAGTGGCAGGTTTTGGTGCTGAAGCAAAGGGACCCCTCTTTCCCTTTCTCCTCTCTCCCCTACAGTGCGTCATCCCATCACCTTGCCCATACGTCACCCCGTGGTGTGGGTGAGGTTGCCACAGCAACAGCACACACTTGGTCATACCCAGTATAGCTACAGAAGTGTGTCAGTTTGAAAGTTTTACTAGGTTTTTATTTGTCTGGGATGTGCTGCCCAGCCATCTGCAGTGACTCACCTATCCGGTGCTCACAAACCTGCTGCTAACCCTCAGTGGGGCTGCTTTTGGTATTTTCACCTCCATCCTTTGGGATGAAATCTCTGCATAGCGGTCCTGGGCAGTCAGTCACCTGCCCAACTGGCAGAGCAGAAACCCTCTGGTTCATCAGCCATCCCATAGACATTCCAGGCAGTTGGGCAGTAACTGAGTTGATATTTACATTTCAAAGAATGTGTAAAGCCGTGGTAATGAGTAATTGCAGAAGAATAAAACTGGAGTTGCCTACAGTGCATTGTAAAACCTGATTTTCTTTCTGTTGAAGCAGTGAGATAAGTTTTCACTAATACCTAACTTACAACTCTGCTCATTTTTTCAGACATGGAGATGACTTGATTGTGACACCATTTGCTCAGGTAGGCACAATTTTGCCATGTTTCTCACATGATCTTGCAATTTAAAGGCCAAATAGCCAAACCAGTGGTTTTCTGTTGTTAATACTATATAAGTTTGCTTGAAATAGGAAAAAACTGTCTAAACAGAAAGTTATAAACCTCCTATACCTCTTTTTAAATGCTTTTTGATTATCTGAAAATTTGAAGTGCAACAGCACAATAACCACCTTGGACTGATCTCTTCAAATATCATAGCACACAGTCATGATAAAGACAGATCTGTGCTGTTACTCTCCTGCTTTTTATAATTAAGATTTCTCTTTCTGAACATCTTTTATGTATTCAATATGAGGTAATGTTTAGAAGTGAGTTGAGTTTTACCCAGAATACTTACTCACCTTTACAAAACCATCTCCATTTGTTTGATTTTTCCATTCAGATTCTGTTTTATAAAATACCAGCTCAAAATTCTATATCATATAGATCTCCACAATTTAGAAACTCCACAATTTTTATCAATAGAGCTGTCTTATCATGTGTGAAAAGTTAACATTGATATTCCTTAAACTCATGATGATAAGTTTTACCCTGTAATAGATAGTAATGAAAGTTAATTCAGTGTCACTACAGGGGGGAAAAACAAATCTGGAAGTCATATGTGATTGAAGGTAAATAGAAAGATTGAGTCCCACAGCAGTCTCAGATAAGAATAAGGTGTCCAACTTCAGTGTGAATATGTAGAATGCTTTGGTCTAATAATAAGCTGTTAAAACAACTAATACTAATTTAATAGGTTATTGTATATTTAATTACACTGTAAACAGATACAGGGCTTATAAGACTCTCTGATCAAATCCTTAATATGAAGACTACCATTATCTTTTATTAGCAGAGAAGAGATTAAGCCAGGGCCTTTTCTAAGAATACTTTAATATCTCTCAAATGGTAAATATATTTCAACAATAACGGAAGAGAGGAAATTACAGGAAAAACAAGAAAAAAAAAAAAAAGTAAAACCACTTTTGCTTTTAGTTCCTCAGGAAACATAAAAACCCTAACTCTGGAGCACAGAAAAAATACAAATTGTATGGTGTCCAAGCAATCCAATACTACTTACTATCATTGAGTTCACGTTCATTGTCATCTGAATTTTTATTACAAATTATGCCACATAGGTAAGACGGGTTATAGTATGCCTAGAAAAACAGGAAATATTACACCCCATTTATGAATTTTTTTTTCTGGGACAAAACATCCTATTTGTTTTAAGGGCAGTTTTGTTTTCTCGTTGTTGATGGACATACTTCAGCAATTAGAGCAGGAACAGTTAAATGTTATTGCTGCTTGCACCAAGGTGCCATAATTGATTATTTGAGAGCTTTTAGTATTTCAGTGCAAAACCCTGTTAGCAGTGGTTTAAATCAACCTGTTTTCATTTGTATTGAACAGGAGAAAGAGCACTCACAGGGTGAGTTAGCACGTCACATTCCCTGACATGGGGGGATTGGAGATGAAGTTGAGAGAGCGTGCCTGATAGAGAAGTGACATCTGATTAGACCCTTAGGAAAAACGTAGCCCTTATCTAAAAATTATTTTAATATGCAAAATCCAATCTCCTGGTGGGGCCTGCTCACAGACTGCATCTGCAGCTAAGCTCAGGGCTCGTGCCTCTGAGTTACATTAGCAGTATTAAGACCTCACGAGGACTTCAGAAATTGGATCCAATGTGCCAGTGTGATGTCTATGCATCATAAAAACTACCCTTTCAATATCTTCCTAGAGCAATATTTCATCATGTAGATGCATTTTTTTTTTCTGTTGCAAACAGCAAAGGCACTGTTTTAACCCCTTTCAGGACTTCTTGGTGGCAGTAGATCATGGCATGTAGAATACATATTCCAGTTATTTCAAACCGTTTGTATTTTCTTCAGTTGACCAGAGACTTGTTCATCTCATCGTGAGCCACCTGGTGGTAACAGTTCCAATTTCAGCATTTCAGTTTCTGTTCTGCATATCACCATGGTAGTGTGGCTGAATTTGTTAATTGGAGGCCGTGTCCCCTACATAGAATCTGGCCCCAGGACAAAATAATTTACTATTTTTACCAGAATGGAATTTTGTAAACTAAAATTAAAAAATATATCACAAGGAAATAACTAGTTGCACTTCCCTATATTGTAATACACAGCAACTGCTGTAATTTAGTTACTGTTAGAATTTCGCTTTTCAAAATAAGAGTGATTTGAAATTTAAGGACAAATTCTGTAGGGCTCTTATCATCAAAAAATTTTGATTCTGTAATTCACTTTCAACTGTTTATATGTAACTTGATTTTGTAAATAATACTATTTACTTAATGATTAAACCTAAAGAGGTTTGCAGGTGACTGGTTGCTTTTTTCTCACAAATCTAACTCTAGAAACTTTAAGCACAAGTGGAACCTCTGTGGACAAACTGTCAAAGCAAATTATAATGAAAAATTGAAATATGATTTTATGTACTTATAACAGACTTGTAAATGTTAATACCTTTACACAATAAATCAAATTGTTTAGCACCACTGTAACCAATGGCCAGAGTTTTTGTTGTCACTCTTACATGCATTGCTATGTATGTGGGGATGCCTTGCAATTGCAGAAACTGTCAAAATACATGCATGTATGCTAAAGCAGCTGGGATGCTGGGCAGGTACTGGACATTCTACCCTGGACCTACAGAACAGTTATTTCACCTGCCAGATGAACAAATAAAGGATATACAAACCAGACAGTCAAGTCTGCTTTCTGAAAAAGGAGAGATCCATAGTATCGCAGGCAGTGGAAAAATCTAGTCAATGTGCACAGTGGTGGGCACAGCAGAGACTCCCCTCATCAGGGACCCAAGCATGGGTCCAGCAAGGCTTATCAGCCTCCACTTGTAACTGGCCCCAAGCAGCTTCACAGCTCTGCACACTTCTTTCCCCAGCACCCCGGGTGCTAAATGTCCTGTTATTTCAGATCCAACCCATCCCTCAGCTAGGTTCCTATTTTCACATGGCATCATACCTAGCCTACTAACCTTTCTGAAACTCAGCCCTGTGCAGCAGGTACAGAGTCGTTCATAGCAGTCCAGCAGAGGCAGAGCAAGTAAGCAAGGCTCTACCTGAGATCACTCAACAAGGAGTCACTTAACTACCTTTGTACGTGCTCCCAGTCCTCACTGCACCTGATGCTACAGCCAACAGGGTCCAACAGAGCTTATTGAGTAGGAACTTGAAGCCAGGAAAACCAACTACATTTTTTCATGGCCTGAGGTACCTCTGAGAGCCACACAGATAAGTTTCTCTGATAATACTAGCACATACAAGCTGTCTCAGCATCCTGGCACACATAAACCGAACCCAGGCAGATTGGCCAAAGAGAACTGAAAATGGATTGCAGTCACTAAAATGTGTGTCTTACCTTAATCGGTCAAACTTTTCTCCATTTGTGCTTTCCTTCTCCTTTCACCTTCAACTCATCCTTTTCTTTTACAGTATTCTTGTACTTCAGCAGTTTTTCTGTGTATTTTATATATTCATTTTTTAACTTCTGAACTCCAAGTTCTTCTTTCCCTTTTTGCTCAGTTCATGCCCGATTTCCATCTGTGTATATCCAGCATCTAAATACAACATTTGCTAGTGTCACTGTACCCTGGGCATGCAAATTTGATGGCATATATAATTATTTTTATTCCATGCTGAACGCAAAATATGTGAGTTTGCCTTCTGATCCTTGGAAATTAAAACATAATTAAATTAATACTGTCTAATTAGGCAACAAATGTATTTTTATTATCTTAACTCATTTGGGAATTACCTACAATAGCCTGAACACTGCCAGTCATTATTATCTCCCAAATATTTTCTGTCCGTTACAAGGTTTCACTAAATCCTTCTTTTCTCTCCACCCTCCTACCCCCTTCCTACCTCATGTATAAATTCAAGGGGCTATGAAAAGAGGGTTGAATCGTCCTCGACTCAGATCACTGGAACCCAAATTCTCACTACCACCTTTGCTATTCCTAGGACAGGTTCACCAGGGAACCAGCCCATCCTGTGCTGAGAAACAACAATGGGCAACTCCTGCAAAGACACACCAGTGCTTAGTGTTGATGCTTCCTCCTGTTCCCAGTCTGGTTCCAAACAACTCATGGTTCCTCTCTGACATCAGCTGAACTGACTCTCCCTCGTTGGAGAGGTGCATCTTATTATCCTTACCTGATACAAAATTTGTTGCATTTATCCAACTGCCGTCAGAAGAGAGTGACTATGCCACTTAGAACAAGACAGTCTTCCACTGCCTCCACAAGCTGCTGTCTTTCATAAAATTAAGTCCAGAAAGGAAGTAGTTCATTTATGTCATCTGTCCCAATGTGCAAAGCTTGTAAGAGCCTGCAGGCATTTCCCACCTCTCAGGTGATACCTTTCTCTTACTCTGGCCTTCTGCACTAAGTCCTCGAAGCAGCTGCACCCCTTAAAGAAGCCAATTCTATTTTTCTAGCAGATTCGACAATCTCATTCCCTTTGTCCTTTGAGGTTTGTGGGGGCTGAACTGCAAATGAAAGGTTCTGTAATCACTTCTTGTGCATGAAGTATTAGGCTTGAATGGGCTATCTTCCAAACATGAATGCTTTTACAGTCATTTTAAAGAACTAAGTAGTATTCTGTGAAAAACTTTCATCCTCTTCAAGTAAGTCTGCCTTTAAACAAATAATGAGTTGTTCATGAGGAAAAAAAAAAGAAAAAAGAAAGAAGCTTTTGCCCTTATATTACAGACATGTTATTGTTAAATAATGGTCAAAGGCTTCAGACAAACCAACCCTGGAAACCTTTTACAGTTGTTTTATGATGTCCTTTTCTTTTTCTTTCAGCACAGTAGAGTACAAATAAATCAGTCTCACCTGTGCAGAAATTCAGACTGAAACTATTTTGTCTGTTCCAGGTGCTGGCTAGCCTACGTACTGTACGGAATAACTTCGCTGCATTAACCAATTTACAAGATCGGGCACCCAGCAAGTGAGTATCAATTTCTGGCCACTGAACTTTTTATGATGATACTTTTTAAATGTAAACTAGGAATAACAATTAGATGTTGCATATTTCAGTCTGTGCCACCAAGCCTGTATAAAACATGTGGGATGAGTAATGAGTTTATTAATCCCTTGAAGATGCTGTACTTGATAGCTGAGACAACAGCCCCCTTGACTCCTAACTGCTCTTGCACTGCTGTCCTTGCATAAATTTGGAGTGGTTTTGTGCAATTTATATTATTTTCAATAATAGTCATATGTCAAAGATCATTAAAAGATGGTTATTCAAGCAGAGTCTGAGTCTTGCAAATGAACCAAAGTGAGCAGACTCATTGTGAGTTACTTGCATGATCTGAACCTAGAGCTCATCCAAGATTATGACATCCCACTTATCCACAGTAGTTCATGATTATAAATGAGACATTATAAATATGATCCTTCTCCAGTCGTGTTACAGCATCACAGTTAACATCAGTTACACTGGCAAATTTTGTAGTGGAGTCATTTCCCTCACCCAAAACATGCATCTCTAGAACTCAGAAATAGTTAGTATTCCAAAGTCCACTGCCTACCATTGCAGATGCAGTGCCACTAAAAGGTATTTCCATCCCCCTTGGTTGGGATATGCAGACCTTAGGTGGCCCTTGCTTGTAGTCATCCACACATCCCTACGCAACTGTGTCAGTCCAGCAACTTCTACATTTCTTCAGAGGGCAAAGCAGCCCACTGAGCTGTGGAATATTGTGAAAGGTATATGCAAAATAATGTGTGAAATGTATATGCAAAATAATAGACTGAAAAATTATTAAAAAAAAAGTATTTAAAGTGAGAGAACGTGGGAAGTGCAAGCCATGTTAGTATAATGATAACTATGTATATAAATCAAACTCAGAGTTATGTATAATCTCTAGGTATGATTGGGCAGGTTTTTAATGAACTTATAAATTCCTAAAATATTCCTCTTTTGGAATCTGCAGAGAGGTTTCAGGGTCAGTTGTGAATTCTGCACTAGAAAGAAATACCTGCTCTAAACAAACTATTTCTTTGGCAGTGCCAGCATATTCCAGTGCCAAATCATTTTCCAAAGAAATGTATTTTCTGTTATATTGTTCAAGGATTCAGTCACCTGGGAGTTTATCAGGCTCACAATTTTTTTTTCTTTTCTTTTAAACAGACGATCACCAATGTGTAACCAACCATCTATTAACAAAGCAACTATAACAGGTAAAAAGAATTAGTATGACTAAAATTTCTCTGTGAAACCATAATGGGTTTCTATATTTAATATTTATTTATAAAAATGCCTCATTGAAAACGGCATCGATAACCTTATATTGTTTCCTATCCTTATACCTCTTTTATTAAAGAGGATTTGAGTCCTGTGGTGACTCAAATTGGTGAATTTTGGTGTTGTATCATGCTAGCTTTCTGATTTCTGTCTTACTATCCTGGTATTCTTTCCCAAATATTTTTATTCCTTATATACCAGTGTGTGACCATGTCATGATTACTCATTAGGAACTTTTTGCAATGAAATGTAGTAGAAAGAACTGGCATGAGGAATGCATTGATCTTTCATTTGGCACATGGAGTTCTGTAGCTATACCAAGGCAAAGTCTTCACAGGACAAGCACTTAAGCAATGAGGAGAAATTTTCAAAAATGACTTTTCGGATTTGGGATGGTAAATTCTATTTCTATAACATTTGTATGTATGTAAGAGGAAAATAACTCCTTTGTAAAAGAGACTATTAATTCTAAAGAAACACTAACTTGAAAACAAGACCGGCATTGTAAGTTACATGAGCACTTTTGAAAATTTTACCCTGCAGCACTTTTGATTATTACTATGGCAACTTGGTCTTGGACATCTTTATGGGGATACACTTTATTTGACCTTGTATTTTTTACATCACATTAATCCATGTGTTCTTGAACTGTGTAATTTTCCAGGCTGTTACATTCTATACGTTGTGTTGGCAGAGTGAAAGTGTATCTGCTTTGCCTCTTGATAAAAGTATAGAGACACTTCATAAACAGGCAATTTATCATTTAAATCAAAAACTTAATGTTTCCAGAATTTTCAAAATAGCTCATTTTTTTAATTGTGTAATAGATTTGTAACTCAAAGAAGAAATGGTACTTAAGCTATTTTGAGAAGTATGGCTTTGTCATGTTCAATAGTTTCTGTCTTTAGGCTCTGGAATATATTAACATTGTAGATTTTTTCCTCTAGCCTCACACAATATTCATATTTACCTCTAAAAGACCCAATCTTGGCAGTTCTGTACAATCTCATTCTCCTAGAAACCCATTATGTAATCTGAGCATTTGCGTATAGGGGTCATCAGGGAACAGAGGGTTAAATCTTTATTCTACAAAAAGAAAAGCATCCTTAGTTAAGAATGTTCTGCAATCACACTTAAATGCATGGTAATTAAATAAATAGTAAGGGGAAACAGAGAAATGCTTAAATCAATTATAATCATAAGCCTTTGTTAATGTATTCCTTTAAAAGGTAATAGTGGGCACTGGTTTCAAATTACTCTCTGTGAGACATTTCAGTTATTGATAGATGCTACACCTATTTCTAATTGTGGGATTTTTCTCATACAACACAGTCATCCAAAGCCTCTTACCTTAACTGGAGATAGAGATACTGGAAAATAGGGCTCTTTCTTTGTTTCCAAGCGGCTAAGTTTAGGACGCTTATATAACCCAGTAAAATCCCTGACAGTAAAAGAAAATGTGATATCCAGAAGAGAAGATATGCAGGCATGTGAACACACAGTGAGACTACCTTATGTGCTGTCCCACAGTTATTTGCCTCAGATCAGCTGATTTTCTCCAGCAGGAGAAGCTGCTCAGACAGCAGTACCCAAGACATGCTCTGCTGGAAGATGCTCTTGCTCTTTTTAAATTCCCCCCAATCTGAAGGTTTCCATTCAATTAATCCTCAGAGTGCACTCTACATGTCAGAAGCAATAAATCATCTGAAGTTTAGAAGGAAGGTGGTGTAGTCAGTGCTGCAATTAATCTAAAAAATGCTTTTGTGCCAAGAAATATAAAGGAAGCAAGAGAAGGCAAAGAATAGTAAGGATAATTTAATATAATTTAGTTTAATCTGATTTCTCAAACATGCTGCTGGAATTGCTGTGTCCAAATTATGCGTTGAACTGAGTGAGCTGGGGCCTGTACGCATTGGATATGAGTGGCTAAAAGACTTTAATGATACAGGAAAGATATTAAGCCCCTATAAAGCATGAAAATGGCTGCAATTAATTTTGACTGTTGAATGGAGATTGAGGTTGGATACTATTTTACCTGAATGGGTTTGCCCATTCTTAGTCATAGACTGGTTTTGATATTTCCATAGCAACAAATTTCATGGCATAAGTACAGAAGTATGCATAGGTGCTTTCTTGGGGCATATAAAATCCTAGTACAACATGTTGCACTACAGCACTATGCCAAGAAGAAAAATATATTACAAAGACTTTTCCGGCTCTTCACAGAATGATTGGAAACCGTTTCAGATGCTACTAAGCTTTTTGAATTCCTCTGGGAACGTTTGAAATGTAGCTTGTGCAGATCCTTCCTGCTGAGAAATCCTCCTAGTCTTGCTGTTCTCAGAGTTCATGCCACAGAGTATCTAGAACAATATAGAATACAGGTAGAGCCCCATCACATCATCCAGATGGCTCAGCTAGCAATCTCAGTGAGAACTGATCACCAGAGTAACAAACTAGGTGACTGGAAGGCACAGCGTCACTAAACCATATCAATAGAAGCAGACACTTAAAATGTAGAGTTTATGTTGCTAAGCTTCCTACAGGAAGTGTCTTTGGGAAGACTCTGAGGGAAGGGATGATCACAGAAAGCAGAAGTACTGCCAAAGATATGGGGGAAACGAGAAGGGAAAGATAAAAAGGGATTTGGTAAATCCAAGTGACTAAAACAGCAAGAGCCAAAATCTCCCATTTACTATTTTAAGAATTCACCCTGAAGCATAAATATGGGAGAAAATGCATTAGCAAAAAAGTAGGAAATTGTGGAATTGAGAAGTGAAGTAGCACAGGAATCAAATGCTTAGATTCTTAGAAGCAATAGAAAACACGATAGCCTTTAAATTTGCAGTGATTTTTCAGTGTAAGTATGTAGAAGTTGATGACCAAAATATGGTCTGTTCTATTCAGTATATCTACATGAATCCTTTTGGAAGCTGTGTTGAAAGAAGATAATAAATATCAATGGCATACCTGATCTTCAGTATAAGACAAGTATGCTATAGCGTGGTGAGTGTTCCTTTTGCAGACAAATTAGGGGGTAGGAGGTGGGAGCTTTTCATGTATCAACAGACTTCTTAGACTTTTCTTACTTGCTTTAGATATCTAGGGTGTAGATATCTATTTTGTAAAGGCTCTTTAGGTTCCCCTTATAGTCAGTGTGAATAAGCAGACATGCAACCTGACTTATGTTAGATGTCGTCTTTAAAGGGAGATGAACTGCTCCCTAAAAGTGCCATGTCTCTCCATGACTGAGACCAGCCTGGGATAACTCCCAGCTTGCTGTACATTCATTCCATGTGTGGTGTTCTGTGCTTCAACCACGAGAGGGGTTCCTCTCACTACGAGTCACGTTTTCCAGGCAGGGATATGAATGGTGTTTCATCTCAAGTTGATAGCAGTTCTCTTAATACAACCACTGAATTAGAAGTAATGTTTCATTTTCAATAAAACTAAACTAGCTGTTACTCAAGGATTGAGCTTGCAAGTTTTAACTTTTGACTGATAACAAAGTGATGAAGCATTAGATATCTTTTGATTACTACAGTCCTAATATCTGCATTTCTAAACCAGAATAATTTGAATTAGGAAGGAACCATATAAGGTCTTTCTTGATATGTGTCAGATTTACAACAGATAAGAGATCTCACAATTTCTCTGTCCACTAATGACAATTTGCAAACTCAGTCTGGCAGCTGCTTTTATGTGCAAAGATTCTGCATGTCCAAAAGAATGAGTTTCTGAGCCTCCCAATACTATCACAACAGATGGAAAGTCTTACTTAACCTGAAATCACAGACACGGGGTCTGATTCCTATATATGCATATATTAGATAGACATAATACCTAATTCAGAGTAATAGCTTTAAAGGGGATTTAAATGTAGAGTACATAAATGGCCCTTTATATTACAAATGCAGTGTCAAAAGACCTGTAAGTGAAAAGACTTGTATATGTAACAAAAAAGCAATTTAATCATAAAATAAATCATAACTGAAACATTGCACTTTTTAAAAGTTATTTAAACTTCACAATTTTGCATCAAAAACTAACCCAAACCTATTTCACCAGATAGAGGAGAATATATGGAATTTTTCAATAACAAGCTACATTTCATTTATTAAAATGTAGGAAGCATGTGGCTTAATGTCAGGAAAACCCCTTCAAATTTTGTTACATATACAAAAACCATGATGATAGAGAAATAAACTATTTGCAAAGATTATGAGATTATAAATCTAACTGAACTAATTTGCTACTCCATGTTTCCATTGCTTCTTATTGGACTTGAGTTACACTCTTTACATGCATGGCTCTGCATCTTAAAATCCAGGAGAAATCAGTATCCTGATAATTAAATGGAATTTCTTACATGCTCTTCATGGGCTTTGTCCAACACATTTCATGATTTGTTTTGATTAGCTTCAGGTTTCCCAATTAAATTTATGGTTGTGAAATGGGATCTACCAGTCTTTTGCTAGAGATTTTATTTTATTACACTGTAATCAATCATTATTTAATAATTAAATATTAATTAATTAATTAAAGATTAGCTTCCTGTTTCTCAGAATGATACACTTAAGCAAGTATCACTATGGTAAGCTAAACATCTATATTCATACAGACTATAATCCTAAATACAAGCAGCTGGACATAACAAGAAAAAACAAAGGTTACAGATGAGAATCTGTACATCGTATTTTACAGCGCTGGGAATAACAGATTATTTTGTGTGGGTATATCTCTGTGTATCTCACCTATAACAGTTCTGTAACTGAAAGATTTTATTAAATAACAGAATGGAATTAAAATATAATAAATTCATGTTCAGTATGAAGCAACATTCTTGATATGCTTTAAACTGTTGAATAGTCCAGAAGGCAAAGTGTTACATACCCTGCTGACTCTTCCAGGGCCTGACTGAACTGTACAGTGTATC